TCCTTGATTACCTGCCTTCTTGCGGCTGTGTAATCAAGGCCAGTTTTCAAGAACTCCTTTAGCCTCGTTCTTGAGTGTCCACCTAGACGGGCAGACTGTACCTCGTCTTCGGGCATTTGGTCTACCTTTTCCAGGGAGAAGACGATGACTTTACGCCTCTTTGCTAGCTTTTCAGCCTTTGCCAGAGACGTTGCCTTCGTCGTATCCCCTTTCGAGGTTGACGCTGTTGCCTTTTGTTGCATTTCGCTATTTTGATTGTTGTTTTTAGAATTCATATTGAATCCCACGAGTAGCTAGGGAAAAACAGTCCGCTACGGCAGAGCCCCGCATGCCGCAGTAACGTCGTGATACTCTGGTAGATGACCTGGTGTCCCAGAGGCTCCGTTTGCAATACCTTGACCCAGGTATCATTCATTCCTCGGCACGGGTCGCGTTACGCCTTAACTTGGGGAGTTGGTTCGCGGCGACAGTTTTCGCAAATGATTTTGGGGGTTTTTAAGTCCCCTTACCCTACTTATAGCTGTCATTAGCCGGATACTCTGACCGTCCTCCTATCCACCACCCGGAGACGCGCCCGGTAGGCTCTCAACCCTCGGGATAGGTAATGTAACCCCCATAGTTAGGCAATCCATTATACTTTCTGCTATTATTTTGTAGGTAGTCGCAAATACTCCTAAGAACCGTTATAGGATTCTCCCTTTTACTCTTAAAGCAGATTTATAGATCTCGCGGATTTAAAAATTTTATCAGTGTCGGTTTTACGATTATCTTGTATACTTTGATAAATCTAAAAATGTTACTTGGGGTGGTTGTCATTGTTGACTTGCGATATGAACTAATTTTTTAACTGTTGGCGCCCAACGTGAATGCACCTACGTTTATTTACTGCTTTAATAGTCCTTGAACTAGCTCATATTTGAGTTTTTTAATATAATTTGCAAAAGAAGTGTCAATCTTGCTTAAAACCGTTTTAACGCGTACCATCATGTATCGTAACATCAGAAATAAATATAGTGTGTAGTTTTAAGCACTTTAAACAGATAACGCTGTACCGAAATATAGCAAATGATAAAATAGAATTTTATGCCGCAAACTGGCGGTGGCAGCAGATTAAGCTCTTGTAAAAACACGCAGAACGTAACCACTCGCACTCGGTGATGCTTCAACAACCCCACGGTATGGCACACGGCAGTTAGCGGTCTGGTAGCTACTCGTCGTCCATCCAAAAATTCCACATATATACGAGAAATTGTAATAAAGCGGTCTCCCCCGGACGGACTGGTTAAGGTCATTCTGTAGTTGAGGCCGATTATTCCCCATAAATGCTTGAATTTATGACGTAATTGTTACCGTTATTTTCACCGAAACAACGGGTTTGTGTTTTGATCTTTTGGCGACGTTATTACAGATTTATGTACTGCTAGGCATACTTCAGGAATCCATCATGGGTGCCTTTTTACTTTCCTATCTGTATACAATAAGGAAAGTATAGGAATCATGATTTTTTCTACCTCGAGTTTTTGACGGATGTTTACGTTTTGGGGTCCCCTAAGTCCGTTTTGACTATTTTTGCGATAACTCATAAACGGATACAAGGAAAAACATCAAAATTCAAACTTAAGCTTTGTTACTAGATCTATGGGGTCCTTTAAAAAAGTTAATTTTTATATTTTATGGAATATATCTGTTATTTACGTTTAAAGAAGAAAATGTTTCAAATAAAAGTTACTTCTAATATTATTCTCTATAATTTTTGTTATTTACAAAATGTTCCTAAAATGGTCCGTATTCGAGAAATTTGACGAAATGTAAAAAAAAAAATCAAATTTTCATGAAAATTGATCAAATAAAAGTTATTTGTGATATAATTCTCTATAATTCTTGTTTTTTACATAATTTCTCTAAAATGGACCGTATTCGAGATATTTGAGAAAAAGTGTAAATCTCGAATTTTGAAGAAAACTCAAAAACGAATAAAGATTAAAACATTACATTTTATATTTTGTAATAGAACTTTTGGATAAAATACTAAAGAAGGTCAATACTTAACGTCCAGTGAAAAGTTATGCCCATTTCCTTGAACTAGGGTATACGGCGCGTTTTTTTCTGTAGTTTCCCCACACGGAAAAAAATGTGACTAGAAAATTTTACTACAATGTTGTAGTAGTAGACTTGTAGAAAAATACTTTATTTTTTGTAGAAAATTTTACTACAATTTTTAGTTAAAAACTATTCAATATTGTAGCAATTGTACTAACTTCTGTAAAAATTTGTACAAATATTAATAATTATCTCTACAAAAAATAGTAATAATTTACATCCCTTGTTATGAAAAAAATTAAATTTTGTTCAAAAATATTCTATAATATTGTAGAAATTCTAAGTCATGTGAATAAAACAGAATTCTGCTATTGGCCAACGTTTCCTGACGTCGACCATAAATGGCCAGACAGCAGTAGCCGTTCGCCATGTTCACAACACAAAGCATGGTACATATACAACATTATTATATTATAAGCACCGATGCGTTTGAGAAAATTTTTATTTTAAAAACTTCTATTAGTGGTAAGTACATTTATGATTGTTTCTGAATAATTTACCTTTAGATAACTAATTTAAATAACCTTCGAATGTTGTGCCGATCGAATGTTGTGCCAAGTTCAATGATATGTTTTTGTCTTAATTGTGACATACCTACTTTCTCATTTTTGTTAGTTATTTGACGTAGTCATTTAATATCCCAATCAGTACGGGGATGTATCAGAAAATAACGAGACTGGTGCTATAGTATAACAACGAAACATTTATTTAAAAAAATTCAACAACTATCCTTCGAAGTACTCTCCATTCTGTTGAATACACTTATTCCATCGCTTTATCCACTTATCATAAACTTCTGAGGAACCATTTTTTGATAGTCTGTTTAGTATACCCATCACAGCGTTGTTGAGCTCTAAATCCGACTCAAATCTTCTACCTCTCAATTCTTTTTTGACTTCAGGAAACAAATGGAAGTCACATGGAGCAAGGTCAGGAGAGTAGGGGGGATGAACCATAATTTCAACCCCTAATTCTTCAATTGTTCGTTGACAAATCATTGATCTATGAGCCGGAGCATTGTCGTGATGCAGCGTCCAGCCAAAGTCATGATAAAGCGGCCTTTTTTTCTTTAATTTTGCCTTTAAGGGTCCTCGAAGTACATTAGAATAGTACTCCCCTGTTGGCTGTTACTGTATGTCCTCTAGGTACAATGTGATCGTAAATAACGCCAAATTTATCAAAAAAAATCAGGTGCATCACTTTACCAGCGCTTTTAGCAGTTTTGGCCTTCTGCGGTCTTGGGCTGCCTTTATGCTTCCATTGCATACTTTGAGACTTCAATTCAGGATCGTAATGATAAAACCAACTTTCGTCACATGTAACCACATTATTTAAAAACTGTGGGTTACGTTGCAATTGCCTTTTCCACTGCTGACAAATTGTCACTCGATTCGCTTTTTGTTCATCGGTCATCACTTTTGGAATCCATCTTGCTGCGAACTTCCGGTACTCTAAATCTTCATGAATAATTTTTTGAGTGGTACCGTAAGACAAATTAACATTGTCAGAAATTCGTTTTATGCCAATCCGGCGATCATTTTGTATCAAGTCGTTAATTTCTGCAATTTTTGTGTCATTTCTCGCAGTTTGTGGTCGACCGGGACGAGGTTCATCTTCAACTGATTCACAACCGTCTTTAAACTTTTTATACCACTCAAACACTCTACATCGTGATAAACTATTATCTAGATATGCACCTTTAATCATTTCAAAAGTTTCAGTTGGTGTTTTACCCAATCGAACACAAAATTTTATCGCGTATCTTTGCTCCACTTTCATTTTTCGATGGGTACGCAAAACACTGACAATTCAATAATTAATTTGTTACAAATGTCAAAAGTCAAATCAAAGCCTACTTGCGGGATAGAACATTAAATATAAGGCTTTCATGTTTCATTTTTTGGGTTATAAAATATTACCTCTGAAAGAAGTTATAGCACCAGTCTCGTTATATACTGATATATCCTCGTATAAATGTGATAAATATCCTCGTTTTAAGGGTATGAACAGTTCAATAGGTATTAATTTTTATTTCATATTTTTCAGGTGCAGAAAAGCCAACTGAGACTGAGGGCGCTATTGTTACTGTTATTTATTACATAATGTAATTAAGAATTTGTATCTTTTATATTAAAACAATAAATTTTGAATATTTTATTGAGGAACATTTTTTCTAGGTTATAATTATAATAATTATGAAATACTACTACAAATTTTATTAAAAATTACTACAATTTGTATGAATTTTTACTATTTATTGTGTAAAATTTTCGTATTAATTTTCATGAAACGCAATACATTTTTAATATAAATTCATACAATGAATAGCAAAAATTATAATAATTTGTAGAACAATTCTTATGATGCATTTGGATATTTTTACTACATATTGTAGATAATAACTCTACAATACATTCTCAACAAATATTTGGAAATGTTTACTACAAATTGTCCCTGTCCCTATATGTACTATTTATTGTAGAGAAAAAATGTATAATTGTAGAAATTTCCAAGTTGTTTTGATACTATCAAATAGAAAATCAATCTTGCAATTTTAGAAAAAAAAAATCAATGCCCTGTCTCACACACAGACGATTTAAGATTTTTTTTTTAATTTCCCAAAATTTTACTTTTCTGACTTACGGTGTTTCTCAAATGACCCTTTTAAATAAGAAAAATACTTTGTGTACTTTTAATTTTATCAATATTAAGTCATTGCAAATCTATTTAATATTCTTGTCTGGACAAAGTGTCACAGAGCCAATTACAGCTTATACAAAATACTTGGTGCAGATTTGTTTTTGATTTGAGGAAATATATAATCATATCTCAATTTATTTCACACAGTTGAAATATATAATTTTTTAATTACAGACCTGTGAAAATTCATAAAACTTCAAATGTAGTCCTCTAGTAGAAATGTCAAATTCAGTCTCCATATTTTAGTTCTGTACTTATATTTAGTAACATCGTCAAATTAACTGTCAAATCCCTGTTTCCAAATGTAAAGAAATTAAGTATACCCAAATTCAAAATTCATGTTCCATATAAAAAAAAAATGAATAGGGTACCAGGATCTACCACATTACTGCTGCCCAGTAATGTATATCCTAAAAGAAACGCCAGTCCGAAAAGACACATCCAACAAATAGTTATAACACAAAGCACCACCACATTCGCTCAATCTGCTGCGCATCATCAGAATAACCAACATCGTCAGAATCATTTTAATGTGCTTAATTCCCTCGAAGGGACTCCAGAAAAGGTAAAAAAATATAACGAATTAGCCAGTAATTCAATTTTAATTATTATTTCTAGGAACAAACGGGATTCCATCTAAGAAGTCTAAAAGATGGATTCATCAATTCAGATCCATTTAAAAAATACCAAAGGAATTTGAAACGGTTTCAATTCAATCAAAAACCTGTACAAGATCCTCCTCCTCTACACCCTCCAGATGAGGAATTGGTACAAGCTAAATTAGTACCCGATATCCGAGAACCAGATCCTGACAGTCGGCCTATACAGCCAGCCTCCCACAATTATTATGGATCAAATGATTGCTCCGATGAAGATTATTTTAATACAGCAGAAAATATTCCCGTGCGTGACGTGGAAACAGTTCACCAAAAAAATACTGCTTATATCCAAGAAAAGGACGAACGAATTGACAACTATCAGGATATCGAAACTGAGGCATCGGATAATGAGTCTATTTATCCTGGAAAGGAAATATATGACTCTCTAAATTATTCGGATGGTGTAGACAGTGTCGTTGACGTTAAAAATCAGTTAGATAATTGGTCAGAAAACCGTCCTATGCAGAAAGCAATATCAGACAATCATTTTAACCGAAACATGGTTCAAATAGTTCAAAAAAATACACCGTTTTATCAAATAGACGTTGTTCCTAAGTATAGTCGTCCAAGTAAGGATGTCAATAGTAAATACTTAAAACTTCCTACTGCTTGTCTTTTATATATAACCATTTTCTTGGCAAACCTCTCTGTTTTTTTGTTCTTGTATTCTTTCATGATTTTATTATAAGAATAAAAGCGCATCTCAATACTGTTACTAAAAGGCGATTTAAATGATTTTAGATATACAGGGTGTCTGTAAAAGGTCCTTACAAAAACATACCACATATTCCTTTGACCAAAATAAGTCGATTTAAGTAAAATTACCTTAGTACAAAGTTGGGCTCCAGAGGGCCTTGAAATTACAATTTTTAAATCGTTTTTCCCATATAAATTTAAAACGGCATATGCGATTTTGCTGAAATTTGGTATATTGGTAGAGTTTTATGTGGCAAAAAAAATGGTATTAAAATTTTGTCCGATAATAATACGTAGGCGTAAAACTTGATTTTTTAAATAATTGCATCTTTAAAAATTCTACGACAATGAAAGAAAAGGAGTTTGAGTATGAAATTTAGATTGCGCAACTCATTTACTTTAAAAAATGTACTCTTGATAAGACTCGATTACTCATATGGTTTTCGCTAAATTTCTGTTTTAATAATTTAGAGTGTATTGGTTTCACAAAAATATTTATTTACAACATAATCAAAATAGAGATTTTACAAAAATTGTTCAAAATGTTCACCATTTTCACGCATACAAAGATTTATACGTCGAAGAAAATTAAAATGTATCCTACCCATAACTTCTTCAACACCTCTAAGATTGTTTATTGCATCTTGAATACGTTGCCAGAGTTGTTCCTCATTTTCTACAGGTTCCCTGTAAACTGTGGATTTCAGATGTCCCTATAAAAAGTAATCCATCGGTGTTAGGTCTGGGGAACGTGGTGGCCAGTTTACAGGTGCGTTATTACCTCTGCCTATCCATTTGTGTGGATATTGTTCATTCAAGTGGTTTCTAACGTTTAAAGAAAAATGTGGTGGAGCTCCATCTTGCATAAACCACATATCTCTCCGAAGTTGAAGAGGTAAATCTTCTAACAATTCTGGCAACGTATTTTGTAGAAAATCCAAATAATTTTCTCCAGTTAATCTTTGTGGAAGTATGACAGGACCAACAATGAAATTACCAATTATTTCAGCCCACACATTAATTTTGAATTCGTGCTGAAAATGGTTTACCTTTATTGCATGCGGATTTTCAACGGCCTAAACATATTCATTATGGGTATTAGTTATACCTCTTCTTGTAAAACCCGCTTCATCGGTAAAGAGAACCTTCTTGACAAAGTTTGGATCTCTTTCTCTTTGCATATTAACAAATCGACAAAAACACAAACGAATTTGAGGATCATGGACTAATAATTCTTGTACTGGCTTCTTATGGTATGGATATAGCAATTGTTCTCTAAGCACTTTATGAACGACATCTTTACTTACTTCTAGTTCCCTTCCAATTCGTCTGGTGCTTAATTCTGGATCTTCTTCAACACGTTCTAAAATGTCTTCTTCAACTTCAGGAATCCTTACAAAACGTTCTCTTCCATTATCAACAGTGTTGGGAGCAAACGAACCGGTCTCCCGAAGACGTCTCTCACCAGCAGCAAAAGTTGGGTGGCTAGGTACACGACGATTTGGAAACCTTTCAGAGTACACCCTGACACTCTCTCGAGCATTTCCTTTACAAAATCCTAATGTCAGTAACATATCGGTATATTCTGCATTGATATATTGTACAGCCATATTAATAAACCACGCATTTGTTTTTTTAATTATTGAGTCAGATAGAACACTTTCAATCGTTAACAAGAGATTAGGTATTAAAACTTGACAATATTTTTATTTAGATGAAACTATGGAAACCAACAATAAATGTTTTTGTATACGTATTGCAGGCAAATAATATTCCTCAAAAAATCGTACATGGCAAGAATCGAGTATTTTTGTTAAAAGTCTCGATTAGAGAAGAAGATATGAAAAAAGTACATTTTTATGTTTTTCATCGTATAAAATTTTGTCCGATAATAATTACATAGGCGTAGAACTTGATTTTTTAAATAATTGCACCTTTAAAAATTCTACGCCAATGGCAAAAAAGGGGTTTGAGTATGAAATTTGGATTGGGTACTCATTTACTACAAAAAAGTACCCTTGATAACACTCGATTTACTCTCATGGTTTTGACAAAGTTTGTATTTTAATAATTATTGTTTATGTTCTAAAATTACCAAAATGCAAATTTCGTCAAAACCATGGGAGTAATCGAGTCTTATCAAGAGTACCTTTTTTAAAGTAAATGAGTTGCGCAATCTAAATTTCATACTCAAACTCCTTTTCTTCCATTGGCGTAGAATTTTTTTAAAGGTGCAATTATTTAAAAATCAAGTTCTACGCCTATGTATTATTATCGGACAAAATTTTAATACCAATTTTTTTGCTACAAAACTCTACCAATATACCAAATTTCAGCAAAATCGCATATGCCGTTTTAAATTTATATGGGAAAAACGATTTAAAAATTGTAACTTCAAGGCCCTCTGGAACCCAAACGAAGCAACTTTGTACTAAGGTAATTTTATCTCAATCGACTTATTTTGGTCTAAGGAATATGTGGTATGTTTGTGTAAAGACCTTTTACAGATATTTTTTGGTTAATATTTTTAAAAATGACGTCATTCGCGTTTAATTTTACCATATCTAATAAATCGTTTGTTCTGATACATAACTACATTTGATAATTTATTAATTGGAAAGTTTTTGCCCTAAATCCTAAATTTTGATTGTTTTCTAGCTGGAGAAAGTGGCAGTTCTTTTAATCATTTAACAACAAGTAGAAGAGATCCCATCACCAAGACTGCTGAGCCTATTACTTCTAATGGTACGTAGGTGTATAACATTTTTAAAATATAAAAATAGAGAGAATTTATTAAACAGAAATGGAAAAATCTGAGGAAGATCAGAAAATTAAAAAAATAAGTACAAAGAAATTATTAAAAATTCTTCAAATATACATTTAGTTTTCATAGGTGTGACGTAAAATAAAGAGGAAACACTCAACAAAAGCATGTGTCTAAAAGTAATACCTACATGTCGACAGGCGTTATTTAAATGAATTTTACGGTATTACAGGTAGGACGCCAGAAGTTAGATATTTTGTGTCCAAATAAGGACGAAACCGGTCCAAGATATTTTACTTTGTGTATTATTAAATCTAGAAAAATTTTAATAACAAAAAAATGGATTTTCAGAGCCACCGGAACAAGAAGAATTGTCGAATCTCGCGCCTTGCCGATACTGTAAAAGAAAATTTGCGAAAAATCGTCTGAAAACGCACGAAGAGATATGCGAAAGAACGCTCAACAAGCAGAGAAACAAGTATGATGCTTTAAGGCACCGACTTAAAGGTACCGATATCGAGGTCTACAAAAAGGTATTACGATTAACAGTGATAAGGGTATACAGGGTTCGCCAAGCTCAACGGGTAAACTACAAACGATATTAAAAATTTCTCTGGCACAAATATACAACTCAACCGGTCAACGCGCCGGCTACAAATTACAGTATGTTCGATATACTTACGCTGGTTTCGGATTAACAAAATTATGCAAATTAGTCATTGACAACCAGTTCCAATAAGCCTCTTCCCAAGAAATTAGGTAAAATTGCCCTAATGGTCAGATTTAAATTAAAATAACATTAGAGTAGTTACTAAATTTGTTACAAATATTGCAGTTGAATTGATTCTTTGCAAGTGTTGACATTGTATGTATACAGGGTGTAACTAAATTGTTAAACAAATTTTATGTACCCCCTTTAAGGGGCTGTATCTTAACAAGGGATGCTCCAATGAAGTTTCTTTATATGAAAGATCCTATCTTTTTTTCGATGAGGAATCACCCCCTTAAATGTTTTGTAAATTTAGTCAAAATTTTAAAAATACCTAGACGTGTGTTAGATGTAAATAGTCTAATTTGTAGTATACATAAGTATTTTACGGGTGAAGAAGGAAATGGCGGTCCTTTAAAATCGGCAATGTCTGTACAACAACGCGTATGCGATACTCTAGGAATTAGTAAAACCAAATTAAGAGGAGTATTACAAAATCACAATAGTGAACTGCCGAAAGAAGATCACCGCAAAACTCGCCCATCATTGAAAACGAAAGATATTCCAGATCCAGATGGAAAGAAATTTGAAATTCGTGATACCATTTATCGAATGAGAGCCAACAAGAAACATGTGACCTTATATACAATTCTCTCGGAATTAATAGATAGAAAATTTGACGACATTGGCAGTACAAGTGTATGGCAAGTAATACAAATTTCAAAAGGAGGATAACAGAATGGCCCTTTGTGAAAGAAGTTCTATCGTGCACAAAAGAATTAACTTTCTAAGAAAATATTCTAAATTTAAAGAAGGGACGAATTTTATATATTTAGACGAAACATGGATATTTTCTAGGGGTGCATCCAAGAGAATATGGCAAGATGATAACGTAAAGTCCATCAAACATACCGATGGAGAAGAAAAGCGACACTTAATTTTACATGCAGGAAGGAAATCGGGTTTTATAGAAGGTGCTGATTAAATATGTTCATCTAAATCAAAATCCAGTGACTATCACGATAATATGAACACATAAATGTTTGTAAAATGGTTGCATGAAAAACTTCTCCCAGGTTTAAGTGAGCCCAGCGTAATTATTTTAGACAATGCACCTTTCCATTCTGAAGTATTAAACAAAAGTCCAACGAATTCTTGGACTGCTGATAAAATTAAACAATGGTTGACAAAGGAACATATACCATTTCCTCAATATATATTAAAATCAGAATTATTACGCTTGGCAAATATACACGCAAAACCAAAAACTTTTGTTGTGGATCAGATTATTAAAAGTTACGGTCATCAAGTTTTACGTCTGTCACCGTATCATTGCCAGTTTAATCCCATCAAATATATATGGGGAATAGCAAAACAATATTATGACAACCATATTGGGCCTAATGGTTATAGTGACGACGCAGTTCGGGAAACTTGGCGAAAAGCACTTTCAATTGCAACTGCAGAAATGTGGCGGAACTGTATATCCAAGTGCGATAAACTAATAGAAGATTGGTGGACTCATTTAACCAGTTGATATTTCCCCAAAGAACAGGTCAAACTTTCGGGTACTTACCTGGAAATACTAATAAAAATTTTAATCCGAAACCCGCGTAAGTATGGCGAACAGACTTAGTTTCATTTATACAGGGTGCCCTAAACCAGAATACCAATATAAAGTTATATTTTTTTTTTAATGGGACACTATATTTTTTTTTTAATGGGACACTATATTTTTTTTTAATTTTAAGTTAAACTCCAGAAAATAATCATACTTTAATAAAGATGTTCTATTCCCATGTTTGATAATTACCGATTTATTTGACATTTTTTGAAAATGCAGTGCTGTATAAATTAATTAATTACTCTTGATTACGAAATAATTTATGAATTTTCTTACAAAATATTCAAAACATTTACGGAGTGTTTGCGATTTAAATCATTATTACAGTAAAATTTATTGATGCATAGAATCTATTGATAATAGGTCTAAAAATAGTAGATATGATAGAAAACTTTATAAAACTTTTAAAGTAAATAAAATTTCCTTCATATATGTGGTACTATACAGGATGTACCTGTGGTGATTTCACTATCTTACTTTTTAATTTCACCCTGTAGGATCATACAATTTATAGATTTTTGTAATTTTTTATTACTGACAACCCTTTTTTCATTAGCCATCAAAGTCAAAAAATAATATCCTACAGGGTGAAATTTTATATGCTTCGCTTTGGGAGGAGACAACACAACCTCGAGCTAAAATATAATACTTTTTTTCCCTTGTATAATGAATAACTATTTTGGTAAAAAGGACCAGACGGTTTTGAATATGGGCCATATACGAAAACCAAATTTTAAGAAAAAAAAAAAAAAACAGCACAACAAAAAACATAAAAAAATTTTGAAGTGCTTTTTCTTACTGGGGTTCTGGTTCTATTTCACAACTAAAAGAATTGTTGAAGTTACTGGCTGTTTCAGTTGAATCCGTTTTATCTGTAGTAGTATGGCTGCACGTTTTTCTGCTTCGTTTGCTCTAGGCTTACATAGTAATTACTAAAGACACAACTGGGCAATTTTGCTGATGACATAATTTCATATGCAGTGCATTAAAATTTTGTTCTGCGTTGAGTAAAGACAGACATAGAAATATGCAACAAACAACACACTTTCGAGTTTGAGAGATCTCCAACCATGAACCAAGAACTGATTAGGTTTAAAGAGAGGGAAAGGTATGTAGAGTACGATTCAACTTAGAAAAAGCCACGGGCGTCATCAACTAGTCATCGTCTGCCTCACTTTAAAATATTCCTTCTCCGTTGCTCCAGATCGATATACCAGTGGCGTAGGCTCTTATTTAAATAAGAATTAAAGCAGTTTCCCAACAAAAAACATTTATTGGATTAAAAAGTTAAATTTTAATGATTTAAACATTTGTATATTACCTAAACTAAAATAACATTACATATATTTTTCGACTTTAGATTTGCAAAACATTCAGTGGGAAGTAAATAAAACTAGCAACACAATTTTGTGATTTAAGATTTTTATTACAATTAAAATAATAGTTATTTATGCAACTAGTGTAAAAAGTGAAACTAGAGGAGTACATCCTAGTTCGTCCGTTAATAAACTATTATACTCTGTTTGTAAACTAAGAGGAGCGATTTGAATTTAAGTTGGCAATTCTGTAGCCTTCTGATTGGTCAGATTACAGTCAGTTTCACATATTACTTTTTAGCATGAATATCAGCTAATAATTGATATTGTTGACAGTTCTGACATTTTATAGTTTGATATATCATCCATTACTTAGTTTTTTTACTTTATTTCGTAAATAATAGTTCTTCAGTAAGCAATTGTATTGAAAATCTACAATTATGGATCCTTCTACACTGAGTACTATTAAAGGTAGAAATTTCTGAAAAGCCTTACAAGAAAGGGAAGACACCTTATTATTTTACATGCTGATTCTGAAGGTTTTGTAGAAAATGCATTATTTGTTTTTGAAGGTAAAAAAATGGGAGATTACCATGAAGAGATGAATTCCGAAGTATTTTAGAAAAAAATAATTTTATTACTGATTTTTTAAAACTAAAAATTGATGAATTTCTAACCAAAATGATTAAAATGTAACTAAATATTCAAGCAAATTTTATTTATTAGAATAGAATAAAACTATTTACAAAATTGTTATAACATTTAAAACACCATCTACTACTTTAGGGACAATCTTAATTTGGCACAATGAGTTAACATTACTTTCACAAAAAAAGATTTTAAAAATACTTAAAATTAATACATAATACATAGGTATGTATGAATAGTTCACTTTAAAAAATATATGTTGACATGTAGTGTTATGAAAATGTTGGTTCCAGTTTCTGACTCATAGGCCTGTAAACTTTTGAATGCCTTTATTTGCCCTCTAGCGCATTAACTATGGGTTAACACTAAATAAGCCATAATATCCACATTACTCATAGAAGAGATACCAGTTACTGTGTGATCCACTTGTCATTCACTGATTAACTTTTACTTTTTATACCTATAACAAATATATCCTTAAAAATGTAAACAGATCTTTACATTTTATACTAAAATATACTTAAATATTTAATATCCATTTTAAAAAGATCATAGTTATTCTCAAAAAGTCGATTTCAAAAGCAAGAAAAAAGTATTTCTGACATCAATCAACAACCATATTGACTTTAATTTGACAGTGACATTTCGTTTTATGGTAGGATTCTGGGAAATATCCTATAAGCTACAGAATCTGTTAGATATAGTAATGTAATGTAATTTTTTACAGATTTTGGCTTACAGATCTTATAGATTGTCTCAGAATCGACCCATTAGACACACATTTGAGATCACAATAATGTGAAATTTGCGACCGTTGTCTGAGACCAATTAAAAAATTACTTCTATGACATTTATTCGTTTCTTAACCGCTCATTGGCCGTTCACCGACTAAGGCCGATAAAGATAATTATTTCATCAATTTTGAACACGACTATATTTCGAAACTCGCTCTTAGTAACAAATCTAGTTACTTTTCCCTGTGTAAATGCGTCTTTTCAATTCGCTTCTCCTAGTTTAAAAACAGAGTATAGTATACTATACTCTACTATACTAGAAAGTGAAGACAGCGAGAGTATACTCTCGCTGTCTTCACTTTCTTCCGATGAACCCGTATTTTTGTTCGCAAGTAAAAGCTTGGCAACGCCGAAGTTTGGCTCACAATAATAAGGGATCCATGTTCACGCGATAGCTTCTGTTCGAATTATATTCTGGACCATGCGGCAGTCGTACAGCGTT